GTCTATTGAAAACTTGCTATGTACCCACTGAGCTGAAACTGACCTGTTTTCCCCATTTCAAAGATGAGGACACTGAGGTTCTACAGGGTGGAATTATCCAAGAGCACACAACTGCAAGGTCATTTTGAACCTGGGTCTTGCTCACTCTTTTTCCTAAGTCTTTTCATCTCAATTGATATGTAGGTTGACTTTTTTTTTTTTTTTTTTTCATCTCTTAACATCTTGGTCAAAAAAAAGCGGTGGGGAGGCTTTAATATTATTAGTCATCAAGTCTTTTTGGTAGACAGAAATCATGTCCTGAAATGGAATTTTGCCACATTTTAGGTGCCTTACCATAGTCCTCAGGGGCATTTCCACCCTTCACTCCAGGCTTTCTTGTGGTTTTTCTGGACATCTTTCTCCTTATGATTTCAAACAATTGTATTTGCCACAAACTCATGAAAATAACATTCCAGGAAATATCTTAAAAACAACAAAAGACTCCAGCAATACTTAGTGGTTATAAAAATGGGGAAATGCAATGGGTGTAAGGAAAAAATGCTGCCTGTTCTAGGAAATTATAAGTATTTGGATATGACGTGAAATGTTCTCTATAAGATGACCTCCCTATCTGTATTTATGAACAGAGAACTTAGCTACCTAGTTAAGAGACAGTGTGAATAATGAAGACAGAAAGTTACAATCCCCTCAGTGATAAGAGGAGATAACTTAGGATAGCTGAGTTACTACCTAGAAAAGCAAGCTATCAAAGGTCATTGTGTGAAAGATTATTGGTTCTTCCTAATACACAGGATTGAACTGTGTGGCATCTAATACATGCCAATTTCCTGTTGACTGCTGGTCCTTATTAATTCAGTCTTTGAATAAAGATAATGGCAGTAAGCTAATTTTTTATTCATTTATTCTATCATTCATTTCTACATTTCCAGTTAATCAGTTTTTTGGTTTTTGTGTTTTTTGGTTTTTGGTTTTTTTTTTTTTGTTTTTTTTTTTGGTAGTAGGGATTGACCCTAGAGGAGGTGCTTTACCAGTGAGCCACATCCCCAGCCCTTTTTATTTTTTATTTTGAAACAGGGTCTTGCTAAGTTGCTGAGGCTGGCTGCCAACTTTCAGTCCTCCTGCCTCAGCCTCCCCAGTCACTGAGATTACAGGTGTATACCATCACACCCAGACAATCAACATTTTTGCACAATATTATGTATAGGGCACTGCATTGAACATGGAAAAAAAGTAAAACAAAGATGACTTGACCTCTGAGACCCTCATGTCGAAGATGATCAAAATCATCCAAATGAACATTTTCCTTCCCAGGTAGAATTGCCAACAGCATTGCATAATATGAAATATTAAATGGGGATGCTATAGAACAATGAACTTACTCTATTAATTCAGAAAAGTACAATTTGAAGAAAAGACTGAATTTGTGTATATGTAAAATACAAAGCAGTTTAACTCTCCCTGAGAATTCTTCTAATTTGTTAAATGTTTTGGAAATCTTAATTCTATTTAACAGGCTTGTGTTCTTTAATACCATAGCCATTAGCCTCATGTGGCCATTGAGTACTTATTATGTATCTGGTCCAAACTGAGCACACAACTGTGCTGTGTGTATTAAACACACAGATTTCTAAGACTCGGTACAAAAACAGTATGTAAAATATTTCAATAACTTTAAACTAACTATATGTTGAGATTCTAATATTTTGGATATATTCATGAAAACTGAATCAGTAAAATATATAAGATTAATATTTAAGATGATTACAAGAAAATTTTAAATATATGATTTGCATTATATCTCTGCTGGACAGCACTGCTATAAATAATATAAAGGAAAGCTTCCAAGGCTTTAGGAGATTCTAATTATCCATGGAAGACAAAAATAAAATGATCTGAAAACCCTGTTCTCCAAATTAGAGCAAAATGAAGTGTGGATATGTGCAAAGGGCCCACGTGGGATTGAGGAATATGCAGTAAATACAGGGTAGTTGCAAATAGCTGCAAGCCCTCAGGGATCCATGAGTTTTTCACTCATTGTTGACTATAGAGTTGGCCCACAACACAGGAGAGTGGTAGGGACTCCAAGAGAATATATATGGCACATGTATGGAAAACCTAGAACCTATAAGAATAGAGGATCAAAGAAAAGGTCAGGAGTGGAAAGAATGCAGGGCTCTGAGAATCCAGTGAAAATGTGAGCATGGGACTCAGGGTACAACTCTGTGATAGAGTACCTGCCTGGTATGCAAGAGGCCCTGGATTCCATCCTCAGCAAAGAAAAGAAAAAATGAACATGCATCACCTCACCATGATTTAGACATGTCTCCAGGAATTCCTGTGTTGAAAACTTAATCCCCAGTGTCATATATTAATAGTATCGGGAGGTAATCAGAGTTAGATGAGGTCAGGAGGGTAGGGCTCCCATGATGGGGAGCAGCTTTATAAGAAGAGAGACCTATGCTAGCTAGAAAGCTTGCTCTGACTCACCATGTGATGCCCTCTGTCATGTTGAGATGCAAGAAAGGGCCCTCAGCACAACCTGGCGCCTGGATACTGGACTTCCCAGCTTCCAGTGCCATTAGCTAAAGAAACTTCCATGCTTTATCAATTACCCAGACCATGGGATTCAGTTATAGCAACAGAAGACAATTAAGACAAACCCATTGGACCAGAAAGGCTCTCCTCCCAGACCCTCTTGGGAGTACCAAGCCTAATCTGAGAGGTGCCCTCGCTCCTTTGACCCAAGCAGAGCGCCAGTTCTGAAGGTCAGCCAGGATTCAAAGTTAACATGATACTCTCGTTACAGTTGAGTTGAATGGCTTTGAGATGTCATTCCTCTTGGGTACTTTGGCTTCTCTATTTTATCCCTTTCAGCTTTTCCTTTATTTCACTGTCTCTGTGTCTGAAATTCTCTTTCAGCTCAACCACATGGACTCCCCGGGACACCTTCCCTGCCTCCGCCATCGTCCATCATTGGTAGGTCACATTCTCCAGTCACATCTTAAGTGGCTTAGTTCAACTCAAAAAATTTTAATTAAAAAATAAGTAGCTAGTAATCAGACACATGATTACAAAAAAAGATAAAGTTGCAGGCACATTTATTACAATACTTCATCAAAGAGCAGAGCTACTTCTCTGAACACTCAAGGAAATGAATGTAAATGTTGTAGCAAGAAAATTGTTTTAAACAACATTCATTATTTAACATTAGAAAGAAACTAGTTTAACAAATAGAATGGTCAAATAACTTGTAGTATAGTCATATAGTAGAAATCTCTACAACTATTAAAACCATACATTTGAAGACCAATGATAAAAGCCACACAATAAAAATTAATAAAAGTACATAACTATATGTGATATGATCTGACTATATAACATAAAATACATAGGAAAGGTTAATAGTGGCTAGCTCTGGGTTGTGACATTATAGGTAATTTTTATTTTTCTTCTCATATAGTCTCTGTATTTAATTTTTTTTACAACTAACATATATTACTCTTATAATCTGAAAAATATATACATAAAATAAACTATTGATTCTCTAGTGTCCGATTTTAATAAAGTGTCCAATTTTATAAAGAATCCCACCAAAAGCTTGTCTTTCATGGAAAAATTATACCACCTCTCAAGATGATATATAATACAGTACAGTATTTTATTATACACTATGACCCTGTGTCAGCAAGGTTAGTTATGCCTGTTATAACTGCTTTATGTCACCTGATACAATATTGACTATCTATAAAACAACTCCAGTGTAAGAAAGAGACATGCCCATCTAAAAATCAGCAAGACTTATTTAAAGGGTGTTAAAGAAGACCTAATTAGTCCTTTCTACAGGAATCAGTAGCATGTTTCAGTAGAAAAGTTCAAAGCAAAACTAGTTCAAAGCTACTTCCACAGATGCAAAAACAAAAAAAATCCAGTGTCATCAGACCTGATTGCTTTTGAACATATTAAGAAATTTTAAATGTATTAAGAATTGGTTTGTTTTGTTTTGTTTTCAAAAAATTCACAGCACATTCTGAAGAACAGAAAGTGAAGTCAGTCTTCACAGAATGAGTTACGGTTTCATCCTTATTCTCTCAAGAAAAATCATTTTGTTCATTCCAAGGTCTGCTCAAAAACAAAAGGATGTAAAATCAATTAATCATGTTGCTCATAATAAGCATGTTTTTGTCCACCTAGAGCCACTGCAGGAGATTGCATTTCACAATTGCTTTCTGCTTCCCCAAGAACCCAGCATCTCATGATTCATCTTTATGTTTTTGCAAACATTTATCAAAAGTCTCCTAAGTGTGGGCCCTCAACAAGGCACCAGTGAAACAAAACCCTCAAGGACCAGGGGCTCAGAGAGTGCCTCTAAAAATCCACATGAAATATAAATTTCCATAATCTGATAAATATATCATTAATCAAATACATAAATTGATATTAGCAGCATTGGATAAAACACTACTTTTAAAAGGGAATAATAGGGCCCCTTTGCCATCTCTCCAGTATGTATTCTGCTACCTTCTTTATAGGAAACTTGGTGAGTTAGAGGCTTGGCCATTAGGTATTATCATGGTAGTTGGAGAGACCTGGGACTTAACTTTTTTAATCTAATGCTTGCAGTTGTCCCTTCAAGAAAACCATAAAATTTTAAATGGGCACAGATAAAAATATTCCTAATCTTGTCATTCAAGATTTTTCTGTACAAAGATTTCTCTGCTGTGATTACCATTTTTCATGCTTCCCATACAGTGTTAAGGAAATTATGGTGCCTATCAGTCTCTTAATTGCCCCCCAAAAAGAACAAATTCAGACATTCTTTTCCTTATTCGTTATTTTACAGTCACCTATGCCCATTTTAGAACCTCTATCATAAGCCACAGAAACGTTTCCTAAAAGCCAAATGAATGAAATTTCACAACATTGAGAGGTACAAACGGTTAACAGTTCATGTGTGTGCATAATTATTTCAAGACAAATGAACAGGAAAAGCCTAGCTCAGACTATTTGTAACTTCTTCTGCCTTTCTTAGAGTAGTAAAAAATAAGGGAAAGAGAGATAATAAAAGCAAAAAGCAAAAAAGCGATGAAAGCCAGTAAAGACTTCCGTGTGTGAAAAAAACTGCATTCAGTACACATGGTGTATTCTTCCGGGCAGAACCTTTCCAGTGTTTCGGGACCCAGGAAACCATTGTTGTCAATAATTTTCCTGTAATGCTTCATGGACGGTTTGGGCTCAAACTGATTTGCTGCATATCGATAGAGGCCAAACTTCGGAGCCGAGCGATCGTTAAATGAATAAGCAAAGTATCCACAAAGATTGATACCATCCAACACGTAGGCTGGAAAAACACAAGGACAGGAGGAATCATTAAAAGATTTTGCACACAGGACATCCCTTTGACATAGTATTGGTCCACCAGGGAAAATAGCATTTAATAAAACTTTGGAATCCATTAGATTTAATTAGAAAAATCTTTTTATAAGGAGACAAATAGGTAAATATCAAGACATATTGAACTACAGTGAACAGTAGTTTGATGTAATTAAATCTACTATGATGCATTTGGCTTAAATTTTACATTCATCAGCACTTCAGATGTTTGTGGGACCATGTGTGATTGAAGATGAGAAAGTCTATCCCCTAGTAGAACTAGGGGTTTCTGTCTGGTCTTCCACTTTTCCCTAAACTCTTACTCCCAGAGAAAATACCATTTCTTGGATTGTTTCAGTGTAACCAGGAACAGCCAGGTCCTTTGTTGGGGCAGTGTGTGTTTCTGTTGGAGAGTGTCTATCAGCTACCCTTTGGCGACCTTTCTGTTTCAGGGGCTCCTTACCTTTCAGAGCTTCATTTACATAATTCTGTATGTAATACATCCTCAACTTGTCTTGTTCGGCCTGGGGATCATCATCAATGCCATTGGCCATTATATACATGGGGAGATCTCCGTACTTGAACTTCAGCCAGTTCAGCACTTTGCGCAAGCCCCAGGGCACCACAGCCACCTGGCTGGGGGAGTTGAGCCAGGTGATGTCAGTCATTTCTTGCACCTCAAGGTAATCGTTGTATTTTAGGGGATCTTCTTTCTCCCAGTCTACAAGTATAGTGGTGTAATGGCTGAAAGCCAGAAAGTCAAAGGAACCCTGGATCAGCTTTTTTTCCTCTTCGGTGAAATAAGGTAGAAGAAAATTGTTCCTTTGGTTCAGCCATTCCCTCATCGCGCGTGGGTAATCTCCAGAGCCGAAAATGGGTTCGGCCAGCCAGCCAATGTCAAATTCCAAAACCCTCTCGGCCACTTCTTTGTCCTTTGGGGACAGAGGGCACGCGGGTTCTATCCAATCCGCCTGCAAGGCTATGGATATTTTGCCCTTTTGAGCAGGTCTGAACTTTTCATCATACACGTGCCAAGCCAACGCATGGGCCTTCAGAAGGTGATGCCCCGCCCGGTACGTCATATTGCGCGTGTCGGGCTCATTCATCGTGATCCAAAACTTGACGTGGTGACCGAGCTCTTGAAAGCACAGTCTGGCATACTCTGCAAAAGCCAGGGTGGTGCGGGGGTTCTCCCAGGCGCCCTGCTTGGCCAGCGGACGCGGCAGGCCTTGGTGGGGGGCCGCGGGGTGCCACAGGGACACCACCGGCGTGATGTTGGCGCGGACCAGTTCACTGACCACGCAGCGATAGAAGTGCAGGACCGTGTGGTTCACATGGGACTGGTTGCCCAGAGGGAGGATCAGGGCCCAGTCCAGAGAGAAGTGAAAATGCGTAATGTGCATTTCCTGGAGTAAGGCGATCTGGGGCCGGATGGCAGCAAAATCTACGCAGTAGGATTTCCTCTTCTTGGCCATCACTCCGTCCACTTTAATAAGCCTCTTACTGTGATGAACATCCCACAGGTAGACATTGGGGTCAGTAAACTGAGAGAGAGTGGTGTCCACCTACAAAAAATAGAGTAAAGGTTTGCTTCACCTGGAAAATCCTGTAAGGTCCATGCAAGTATTTCAACAGAATTAGCAAGTAAGATGAGCAAAATTAAACTCCTTTCTAGCTGGGAATTTAAACCACTTTTTGTAAACTGTAGTTTCTTGAGGAAGAAAAGATTCCACTTTTTTAAAAAATATTTTTTTAGTTGTCAATGCAACCTTATTTTATTTATTTATTTGCAGTGCTGAGAACCGAACCCAGTGCCTCACACATGCTAGGCAAGCGCTCTGCCACTGAGCCACAACCCCAGCAAAGATTCCACTTAAAAAAAAAAAAAAGTACATTTACATTACTCACAGTTCTTGCTATACTTTACACTTAAGATTAGTGTTTTTTAACAACTATCTGATTTTAGTCACTTCAGTTGACAAAAACAAATAACTTTTGCAGGCAGGCAGTCTGTGTTGTGCAAGAAATCACTAATGGCATGAGGTATTCAAATTTAAAAATAAATAGGCAAAATGTAAAAGCTTAAAATCTGCATGAGTTAAAGCTAGAAAATGAAATCATATTTATAATTAAGTTGCGCTTCTTAAAATTATGTTCTACATTTAGGTTTGCCTTGGGGTGCTAAATAAGCATAAGTGTTGTCTTTCATGGGGTTTATGGTCAGTGATAGAATTTAACAAATTCAGTCTATTGGTATAAAGCCTGAGAGAGAATGTGGAAATAAGGAACAATAATGTTATCCACCCAGAGAGGGATTTCTTTTAAATGAAGTTTTTCTTTAGTTTTCTAAAATATTTTTTTCTGTAATAATATTAATTATAGGGTTCTCAAACATATGACATTAAGCTTCCAAAATAGAAACAGGTGCTTAGGAAAAGTGGACAAATTGTGAAAGCAAAAAAATCATGAAATCCTCCCTCTACAGCTTACACAAAAACTGAAAAGTCCATCTGGGAGACCTGCAACCTAAGCCAGTTTCTCCTCTGAAATAATCCTTTTAGAACAGGTGTCTTGGCCTGACCCTGCCATAAAAGCAAAGATCAGATAAACCCTGGTTTTGAAGCTCTAGCAGAGGTGTTGTGAATTTTACAGTCCTGTCATAAACGCACAATTCGTTGCTGGTTCTCTGGAGGGGTGAGTGCTGTGTTTGTAAGGGAAAGTAATAAAAAGCAGGGTGTCAGAGGAAATTGATTTTCTGGAGAATTGTCCCTTGTGGATCACCCACGCATGCACTTCCCCTAGTGCTGTGGGAATGCTGTAAGAAGTCATTTTCCACATCCATATATCCACAAATTGTGTTTCCTTAGCTTCACAAGAGAAAATATTTGCATGCTATTTTGAAGAAAAAGTGTTCAGAACTTGAAGGAATTTTTTGCATTATTTTTATAGAGCTTTGAGATGACTACATTCATAACTTTTCTGCCAGAATCATCCAAAGCAACAGCTTTGATTCTCTCCATCTGAAAACAAACATGAAAGACCAAGATATGATTATTTTGCATGGGTTGGGGGTTGGGATCATATTTTTAAAATATGCAGCATTTAGAAATGAATATTTAGGTAAAATTTCATCTAACTGCTGTTAATTTGTTGACTTTGTTTTTGCTTAAAAATGAAATAATAAAATTAGACCTTTGAGAAGGAATTGGTATAAAGTATGTATCTAGTATGTTATGGAAGAAAATCTCTCTTAACAGGGACTGGAGTCAATAAAGCTCCATGTCCTCAGTATGTAGCACATTCTTTACTTCTGTTACCTAGGAGCATTTGTGGTTATGGGAAAACAAGTCTGCCAGCTAGAAGTTGGGTCCAAGTAAAATGACAATGCCTATGAATTAACCAACATCAGACTTCAGACAGGTCATGGTCAATAGGATATTATGTTTCAACTTATTAAAGTGAAACACAAGCCCCAAATATTAAGTGTTTGAAACACTACCCAGGAAGGGAAAGATGAATTTGGATGGTTTAGACATCAACTTCTCAGGACATCAACGTGTTAAGTTAGAACACTGCTTGTCAATGAAAATGCTCTCACACCTTGGAACAGATGGGTCAGAGGACCTCCTTTTACTATGCCAATCAGGCATTAGCCTGGAGTTGCTAATATGAGGCCAAGCCCAAACTGCAAACCAGAAAGAAGAAAATGCAGTTGCAGCCTGTTCCCACAGAGAGCTTTCAGGGAGTTCGCATCCACCATGGCTTTGAGAGTCAATTATAGGTTTGTTGGGTTCTGCATAGGAAGCAGGGACCTAGCTAAAAGTGCATCCTCAGAGAGGTTGAGACCAGTGAGTGGCTCACCCAGGATTAACCCATTTTGATCCATCATCCTAGGTGTAGAACATCTATAAAAACTTATATTATGTGATATATAATACTTATAATAAATATTAATATTATATACATATATAAAATATGTCATATATATGGGCTCCAGGTTATGGTTTCCAAACTATTTTTTTTTTTTAGTACCAGGGATTGAACCTAGGGGGGCTTAACTATTGAGCCACATCCCCAGCCCATTTGGTATTTTATTTAGACACAGGGTCTCCCTAAATTGTTGATGCTGGTTTTGAACTTGCAATCCTCCTTCCTCAGCCTCCCAAGCTGCTGGGATTACAGGCATGTGCCATGGCACCCAGTGGTTTCCAACCTATTTCAACCTATTTTAATGTACTTGTGTCGATTTCTTTGAAATATTCACGGAATTGAAAACTTGGGACTTAGTAAGATTAAGATTCTATAAAAAGGGACTTCTCTCCCCATTTTCCTATTTGCTGCCATACTTTTTTGCTTCTGATCAGAGTTTCTCTTCTCTCTCAAGGAAATAAGATGCAGGCTTTGCATGAAAATAGGGAAGGAGTAAAATGGTTCTCAACAGCCTCCACTTCCCTACATTCCCACCGCCTACACAGAGATGCTGGCTATGAGACTTCTCCACGCTCAAAGGACCAATTGGGAGTTACCTGCCAGACTTGGGCTGCTATCAGAAATCAGGGAGAACATGAGCCCTTCAGTGTCAGTGCTCAATGCCTTCAGAGAGTGAGTGAGAAGTCAAGATACAGAATAAGGACCAAGCACCATCTAATTCACCCCATCCCCAATAAAGGGCAGGAGGATGGAGGGACTGAGGGACCTATCTTCTTCCCTTTCTCTGTCCCTGTCCCTCCTCCTTCCTTATCAGCCCCAATTCTGCCACTTCAGAGACTGCTTGAGCTCCATTTTGTGTCCCACACGGAGGAGAGAAAGAAGGGAAGAAGGGAGACAAGCAAGAAGGAAAGCCCACACTGAGCAAGATGAAGCTAAGAAGCCTTCTTCCTATTGCACTTGGACATCCTTACCGTCACTATGACAGGTACCTGGGATAATCAACTTATGGGGAGGAAACATTTCCTTTTGGCTCACAGTTTTGGTGGTTATAGTCCTTGATTGATTGACAGCTTTGCTTTTAGGTCGTGGTGGGGAGCATATGGTAAAGCCAACTGCTTACCTCATGGTCAGGATACAAAAAAGAGAAAGAGGAAAGGGCTGGAGACCTACTATTCTCCTCCAGGGCACATCCCCAATTACCTAAAGGCCTCCTACCAGGCCCCACCTCCCGGTAGTGCCAAGTTGGAAACCAAGCCTTTAACTTAACCATGGGCCTTTGGGGACATTCCAACTCCACACTAAAGCACCAAACCAACATTCCTCAGTAAATGTGAAGAAAAGATTTGAGTCTGAGACCACGTCTAAACCAAACTACATGTTCTGAAAAAAAAAAAAAGTAAGAAAAATCTAAACCAACAAAAAACATATGAAGGTTAGTGTTGATTTATTTACTTAAAAATATTTCAATTTAATATTTACAAGGAAACAACAATCCATTGCAACCAGAACACCTTTCCTCAGATCCAAGCATTCTTCCAAATATTTCTTTTGAAGCTGTAGCAGCTACAAAGTGAGTGGAAGAATCCAACATCCTAAATCTCACTGCTTAACAATGGAGACTGAACTGTGTCTCTGTCTTGATCAGTTTTCATTCTCAGACTATGTGGCAGTACCCCACCATCTCACCCTGCTCACTTACCCTCAAGTTATGTTCACTCCTTTACCTTGTTTGTGTACCCATCTCTTATTCTCAATAGTCTCCTTTACTCCTTGAAAGCAGGGTGGTGATGTTACTCATTTCAGTGAGTAAACTGACAATCCCCCCTAATCAATTGACCCCATCACCACACAAGGCTCTGTACACACTAGGCATCTAATAAGTACTTAATGAAGGATTCAATCAAACCCAAGAAAATAAGCCCCTTTAAAATTAGGGAAATTAAAAAAGAACATTGAGGATTAACTAACTACATAGTAGATATTCAATAAATATTGATTGATCATTTTAAAGCATTTCCATATCATTTCAGTGACTGTATCTAAAAAAGGCTGGATGTGTAACCGATGTGATTCTGCAATCTGTATACAGGGTAAAAATGGGAGTTCATAACCCACTTGAATCAAAGTGTGAAATATGATATATCAAGAACTATGTAATGTTTTAAACAACCAACAATAAAAATTTTTAAAAAAATAAATAAAATTGACTTTCATAAGTGTAAAAAAAAAAGGCATTTCTATCAGTGAGTCATTGGAGAAGGGTTTGCATTCATGAGGGGTCTCTGCAAGTCTGGGGGTAAGGGTGGTACACGTTTATGCCTCAGGAGAGCTGTACCCTCATTCTCAGCTGGTCCACTGAGATCTCAGAGGCTCTGGAGTTCCATGTCATATCTTATTTATGAAAAAGCTCAACTGTTTTAAAAAGGATTAGAACCCCATAATACTAAAAGACAGTGTTTTTTTTTTCTTTTTATTGTCTTATCAAATCTTAAATACTCATGTGTTTAAATTCTTTTCCTTTGGATCTAATTTAAAGAATAAGATGAAGATTGGAAGATCTTTGGGGAGAAGAGTGCAGCATTTCAAATGGTGATCTTCAGGTGCTCTCTGGGAACTGTTTGGCTCCAAGAGCAGAGAGTGTGCCATGACAAGAGCCTGAGAAGGAAGCACTACTTACTAGTGACAGGGCTTGGTGAGACTGCTGATTGGTTTTGTCAGCTGACTTACTTGAACGTAGTTGTCAACAACTCCCCAAGCAAAGTCACAGGGAAATGTCCCTTCTAGGGGTTGATTTTCAGGTAAAGGAGGGAAGCCATTTTTCTCTATCAGCTTTTGGTAGAACAAGGCTGAAGACTTCGGCAACAGCTTCTTATCCTGGCTCAGAAAGTCGACATAGAAGAGTCCACGTCTGATGCTGTAGCCTCTGTGCCACTCGAAACCATCCATGAGGGACCACGCCGTGTACCCGATGACATTGACCCCATCCAGCCTGATGGCTGCAAAAGGCAGAGAGGACAAGAGCAGCATGACCCTTCCCTGGGCACTCACCTTATGATTCGAGAGAATCTGAGGGTTTCACCACTTAAGGAAACGCCAAGTAGAATGCTCCCAGTTTGGCAAACCAATGATTTTTTTCTTATTGACAAAAGGTTCTCATTGATTCTAGATAACTCTACAAATAAGTGGCTTCACAAATAGGCTTATCTCCAATGTGTTTTTATTTGGATTTCTGAGACAGGATAGTTTCTTACTCCCAGTGGGTGCACTACAGGGCTAATATCTGTTTTCTGCCTAAGCACCTAGCATTGAACCTCAGATCATAAATGAAAAAGGTCTTTAAACTCATGAACTACTACTTTTTCCAGATAATATGTATACACCCTTTTTTTAAAAAAAAAAGTGTTTAATCAGTCAAAGTAATAAAAACTCAAGAACACGCACAGAGAGCTACATGTCCTAAGATTTCTATTATACTTAAAGTCTTAATTAATAACTGCAAATCAAGTAATTTCAAACATTAACCCAGTTTCTCCCTTATGAGAGAAGATAAAAATTAAGTTCTTCAAGGCTTCAAACAAAAAAGGCACTACCTAAATGCATTTCTACTATTGCCAAAATGAATTCCTACATTATGATTAAAAATAGAACACAGCATATTGCAGATAATCTTAAGGATTGTTTCCCCCATGGATTTTGACAAGAAATGAATATTTTTACCCTAAATCCTACCTTTTAAGGTTTCCATGATGAACTTTTTGAGGTAATACATGTATTTGGCATCATCTCTCTTGGTGGTCCCTGAGACAAACCAGCCATTTTCCACAATAAATATTTGAGGGTGGTTATATTCGAGGTCAATCCAAGAAAGGAGTTGCCTCAGGTTGGGAGATTCTAATTGGTGGAACTTCATGTGCGGGTCCAATAGTTGAAAACTCAAGGTTGGTCCAAAGGAAAGAGCAAAAAAGTCAGCGGTTCCCTTGACGAGCCTTTTCTCAGATTCGGTAAAATCAGGCAGAAGAGATGAAAGGTTATTCTTCATGCTCTCAGGATAGTCACCATCAATAAATATGGGTTTGGCAAACCAGCCTAGTACGAAGTCAAGGGATTTTTGACATTCTTTGATGTTATGGTCTGTCATTCTTCGAGGATTGATCCAGTGAGAGCTGAGGGCGATGGACACTTGGCCTCCCTGAGTTGGACGGAAAGAAGTGTTGTAGAGATGCCAGATTTTGGCATGAGCCTATGAAGAGAAAAATCATGGTGAATTTCTCTGATGGTGAGAGATGCAGGACATAGTCATTTCCCCAATTCTAGTTGTATCTGTTTCTCATCAAGCCTAACCTAATGACTAACCCCACACTATAAAAATTAGCTGGAACCAGGGCTGGGGTTGTGGCTCAGTGGTAGAGCGCTTGCCTAGCATGTGTGAGGCACTGGGTTCGATTCTCAGCACCATGTAAAAATAAATAAATAAGGGGATTATATCCATCCACAACCAAAAAATATTTTTTAAAAAATTAGCTGGAACCAATAAATTATTTCAGAGGTAGCTCACCCCACCATGAGCTGCTACCATGATTAAAGTTATTTCCATTGTTTTTCAGCAGCCAGTGGAAATTTATTATGAATTTATTAGGGTAAGTTGGTAGTTATTATTCATATTTTGAAAAGCTAATGAAATAAGAATTTGTTATACTGTCTTACTACTTACTTGACTTTGGATTATGGACTTTTTAATTAATGGGTTCCATGAAAAGAACCAATGTCGCATCTGTGATCACACTAGGAATTTCTAAATAGGATTATATACTTTATCCTAAGAGACTGGGAGTTTCCAAACTGACTCAAGTTGTTGGAGTCAATTTAATATTTCTTACTCATCTCCCATAGCTAAATTCCAATGTGTGTCCTCAGAATCTTTGTTCTTCCCTATGAATCAGCATAATATATTAAAAGACAATCCAAATTCTAATCTTGGCCCACCCTCCACAACTCTGGGACAGTGCTGGCTTCCTGCAGATCCAGGGTACAAGGTATAAGCCAAGAGGAAAAATACAGCTAAATACAACTGGCAGGAGATGGGCACTCTACCGTTAAGTCAGCTCTCAGTAACTGTTTCCTACCAGTGAAAGGGCTTTGCTTCCATGAAACCAACTTTATATTCCCATTAAATCTTGCTGACTTCTGATATCTTTTCATTTGTTTTCTTTTATTTACAAATATTGAGACTTAAATGGTATTTTTCCCTTTCTACTTGAAGTTTCGCTTCACCTTTGAATTCCTTGACTTACTCCCACTGTTTTCCTACAAATATAAATACTATTAGCCTTTTATTCCCCTAACATATATTCTTTGAAAACTCTATTTTAATTCTCCATTTAATTCTGTATATTCTACAACATGATCATGCCAATTTTCATTCCAATTCCTGAGCCGGAAGAAGATCTGTTGCTCAGTATGCCAAATATCCTCTTCATTTTTCTTAAATATTCTTCTCCTGGTTCATTTCAGGGCAGGAATCCAAAAATGGCCTCATCACCATTCTTAGGAGCTCAGCTAACCATTTCAATGAAATAAGATTGTTTATGTCTGATTTTATTTTTAGTTTCTTAGTGACATCTGTTATTTCATTTCACTGAGTGTATTCTTTCCATATAGCAGCTATCTATAAGCTAAGAAAGAAATAGAGGATAAAATGTGAATGGGGCAATAGTGATTTTTGTCTGTTAGCTCTATGATTTCACCTGCCCTTCTTTATTTTCCCTGCCACCATCAAACTATCCCTCCCTTCTCTGTTGACAGGAAACCATGAAGTCACTTGATAAGTAATTAGAAAAACAGGGGAATAGTCAAACTGGTACTCAGGAATCCACCCTTTGGGACCTAGGACCAAGGGATATTCCTAATTTGGCCCAATTTGAGGCCAATGAACTGTCATGTCCTAAATTCTAACAGGCAGTCATCTTCAGAGCAAGCACTGAATAGGTAGGAACTTCACAGTCTGGCTCAGTTGTACAGGTAGCTGGAATCATGCAACAGAATTGTTCATGATAACAGACCACACTTCTAACCTGGAAGACTTTGACATGGATCAGAGGAAATGTGGATGAAATGATAAATGACCTGGGCTACTGACAAAGGCACAGTGATCGCCGGTGTCAGTTAAAGTTCCTGCTCCATCACGTTTTAGTTATGTGCCTTTGACCACATTATTTAACCTGGACAGGGAAGCCCAGCTTTCTGTGCCTCTCATTGAATGTTTCAAGCATCAAATTAGATAATTTATGTAAAGCTCCTGACACAGAGATTCTATAGTAAAGTCTCCATGAATGTTTATTTCATGAACATTGTTGGAAAAGGAAACCCCACCTGCTCTGCAATCCAGACCATAACAGTGATATGATGCAGTGATAAAATGTGGAGTTTAGATCACAATGCCTTTATCTGTTACCAATGTGAACCTCTGTTGCTTATCCTATCTTAGAGGTAGCTTACTGCACTGCACGGAGAGTTGCTCGCATGACTGAAGTTGTCTCCATTGTTTTTTCATCAACCAGTAGAAATGCAAATACCATCTATTTTCCCATAAGGATTATGAGGATTAATTGATCTGATGCAAGTCAAAGTGCCTATTAAGTGGTTGATTATTTTAGAGGATACATTTACAGCATAGAAAACATCTTAGGTACTATTTGGCTTAACCCTACTCCAAATCTCTATTGCATCTGTTGTCTGTCTGTTCTCTAGAGCGGCCCAGCTAGGTGGTCCTCCTGTGCCTGGCAGCTTCTCCAGGAAATCCCAACCCCATCCGACCTGCCACACTGAACTGAACATCCAAGTCTCCAACATGCTGTGCTCCCATCATTTAATGAAGGTAATGATGCATCCTTCTCCAGACTGAGCTTCCTGAGGAATCCCTCATGGCCTCCCTGGCCTTTAGAGGCCTGAGTCTGTTAAACAGAATTAACTCTGCTCCATCACCTCCTCATGAGGTTGTTCATTCCATCTACAGATGGTAGGTTTGAAAAATCAGATGCAGTACTGAGGCAGAATATGGGAAAAGTCATCACTAAGGATCTTGCAACAATCAAGGATGATTCATAGGAAAAAGGTCATGCACCGTCTTCCATTGCTTTCTAATTTTTCCAGGTATGTTCATTTTATAAGCCTGTCATCTTAAGATTGAGACTCAATAAAGCTAGTGATGAGGACTCAGAGAAATAATTAACTGTATGGGCAAGAAAGAATGCTCATCTACAACCTATTTCTAAATAGCAAAACATTGAAAACAATTGAAGTGTCCAATATTCAAATATGTTTACAACCATATAAACATATAGGAATGTTTTAATACATGATGGTATAACTGAAAAAATAAGACATGCTTTTAAAACATTACAAATCTCTCAAAAGAATATCTATAAACAGGTAACAATGTTTCTAAAATCATAACTGAACCAAAAACAAATTATAAAATAGTAAGTAACGTGCAATATTTTTTTTTTATTAAAGAAAAATATATACATAAAGATCTGGAAGGATTTACAACTTCTTAAAAGTTTTGTTGCAAGATTGTGGGTGGTATAATTCTCTTCACTTTTTCATTTCCGACTATAAATATGTATTGCTTTAGAGATTTGAAAAAATTAAAATTCAAAAAGGAAAATGGTTCATAGCAATTGGATGGCAGGCTCTCCTGGTATAACTAACCCCTACCAACCTGTTCTCTACGTTTCCCTATAGTTTCTGCCTCAAATCCCAAATCCCAAGCACAATGAACCCTGCTTGAGGTTCTGAGATCCCTAGGTGCCAACATTTTTATAAGTAAAGCTCTCTAAAGTATTTTTTTTAGCTATTCCAGGTCCTTTGACACTACCTCCACTTCAAAACTCTGCCCCCCATCACCACTTCCATAAAGCCTCCCTTACATCTTCCCTCTCTCTAATCTTGCTTAGCTACAAGTCCATTCTATCTGTTTCCACAGCTAAACTCAACCCAAGACGTTAACCATATTTTATTGCATTTATTTAAGTATCTGGATTTCGGGTGCTTCAAACGCTTTTTATCTCTCTCTCCTTAGATTCCAGCAAAGTATCTGCAATAGACTCAGTAATAAATAGATATGGAGGAAGGAAGGCTGGCAGGAAACCCGATCAAAGGGTCTGAGACAGATGCAAATGATTTTCTGGACCAATGAAGGGAAACACTCTCATAAGATACTCTGGTTCTATTTTATTTCTAAGACCTTGGAAGACAGAGAATTTTTATGTGCATAAAATTAAAAATAATAATTAGAAGGAATTTGACAAGATAGTCTCTAAGAGTGATACTATATTGTCTTACCATGTACAAATGATCCAATTTGGGATGAAAATCATTCTGGCATGTGATACTCTCCTCACTTCCTTCTTAGCCTCGGTTTAGACTTGAAATATAAGGTCTAAAAAATGTAGGAAAAAATGGATCTGGTATTCCTTCCTACCAATCAGTTAGTATTCCCAAATTTTGGAAGTCAAGGATAATACTCCAAATGTTATAGCACAGACAGACATTTCCTCTTGGGATAAATTGTAAGCTCTTTATCATTTACCTATGTGTATCCTTCACAGTGTCCAACACAAAATATGGTGATGAAAGGAACCTTAAGTGGTGAGACTCGTGTCTACTCCAGCCTCCTGCCTTGGGTCATGTTCTAGACATGGGCAAGGGAGATACAGGCCACCAAAAGGTGACAGTCTCACTGAGCTAAGAAGGCATAAGTCAGAGGCAAGGACTGCTAAAGCAGGTCAACCTCTTGAAGAGAAGGAAGTGTCGCAAGCTTCTCTTTCCCTGGCTGACTTCTGGTTTTTTGAGGGTCCATGCCTGCATCTGCACAGAGCAGAATTCTTTGGTACTTAGCAAAGAGAAACTATCACATCTTGGATCTGAACACCAAAGGCTGTGCCAAGCTGGGAAACATGATAATCCAGAGGAGCCACAGTAGAGAAATTCATCCCAGCACTTCAGACATTCAATGGAAGAGTCACACCACAGGAATAAGGAAACAGCAGAAGTAGACCAGCCCTGACGAAGATTAAACCCAAGCCAGGCAGGACCAAGAAAATCCTCTGGCAATTTCAACCGCTTAGCAGAATAAGACATACCATTTAAAAGCAGACAACACTAGCTAGATCCCCTATAATGTGTCACTCATAGTGTGCTAGACATATGGAAAATTCAAGAAAATGAAACTCTTAATTA